CTGCAGTGCAATACCTGTAATACCTACAGCATGTTCTAATCGCTCTAATAGGATATTATGGTCGACAGTATCGAATGCTGCACTAAGGTCAAGAAAGGAAGTTTTCACACATATAGCCTGAGCTGGCGAAAGTGCACGCACTCTTTAAGTAAGTAGAAGCACAGATACTTGTCTTACAGATGGCGGCATGTTTTAGGTCATTGTCATGCTGGAAGACCCATCCGATCTGTAACCCATCTTCAGTGTTCTGGCTGTGGGAAGGAGGCTCTTGTCCAATGTTTGCCACATGGGCACAGAACCAATCTGTGGGAGCCAAAATTCAAGCTGGGTGGGATCTAATACATTTTCCACTCAATGACATTTTTTTCCCATGGATTTTTGGTTCATATTCTGTCTCTCTGCATTAAAAATGAAACTACCATAACAATTAGAGTCTGTTTATTTCTTTCAAACTCACACATCCATTGCACATTTCTCCAACTGTATCGTGTTTCATAAAGTCACAATCACACATCTGCATCTGTATAGAATTAAAAATGACTGAATGCTCCAGTTTTCAAACCAGTTTACTGAGCAAAACAAGGATGACAGAGTTGTGCGTCATTTACAGTACACAGGTATACAGCTATACATCGACAGCAGAGATATATAAGAAGGCGCGGGGTTAAAGTCGCAAGGTATCAACAAAGCACAGGGCCTTATAAAATATCAAGATGGTGTCTTATTTTTCCTGGAGCACTGCAGACTCAATAACTATTTCATGAAAGCAAATAAAACCATAAGTTTGGCTTGAGTCAGAGTTAACGAACGCTTTTCTTCTATAAATGAGGGTCAGAAGAGGAAATAAATGATCAGCAAAAGGGAGAGGGGGTCTACACAAGGGAAAAAGACAAATTACACATGACACTAGCGGGGTTGTATCCTCAGTGAAGGATCACTGTTAGCAGCATACAGTGAAGTGTACATATCTGTGTAGTGAGCGAGTTATTGTTGAATCCAAGGGCAGCGGGGAGCAGAGCACGAGAGGATTTATGTATAAAACATCAGTATCAGTATCACCATCTGTCAGACACTGAAGCTCGAGACAAACATACAGTGAGAGAATCTGTCATGCTTATTTTTAAGTCTGCAGAAGGGGAAAAACACACACAAACTGCGGGTGCACAGATGTGTGTAGGCGAGAGTTTGGCAGTGTTATTTACATTCAGATGGACAAATACACTTACGGGGCAGAGGTGCAGAGATTTTCATTAGAGGGGAATTAGTAGGAGCTCGGCTGTAAATAATGCATGCAGCAAATGCAAAGCAAGGTCTCCAGATGGAATTTCACTTGGTATGATCAAAAGGTTCAACAGATGAAGTTAGTGTTTGACTGCATTCCTGACTATTCTGCAGTCATCTTTATAGCTGTCTGGTTTGCAGACAACAAGCCTTCGTGACAATTCTTTTATGGGGAAAAATAATGTGAAAGTCCTTGGACTATTTGTGCGACTACACTGTATAATATAGCCCTGAATAAAATAACAAACAGGGCCTATAAGGAGGGAGTCGGCATAAAAGACGGAGAACAGAATGAAGGATGGGTGACCGAGGTCAGGTGTTGGGGCCTGAGGCAGCAAACATGGCAGCAAGAGAAAGCTAAAGCTAATGTAAGTCAGCATTGTTCTGTTTAGACATGGTTGCAGTGCAGTAGTGTAGTGTGTAAGAGGAAAACATGACAGTCTCTCTGCAGATCCTCTGCTTTAATACTGTGGTAATTACAGCAGCAGTTAACAGGACAGCTACTAAAATAAAAACAACACATTGTAAACGTCTCATTCCCTTTTCTAAAGAAAATAAACGAATGGAAAAAGTTTGCTTTTTTTAAATCATACATTTACAGGGTCAAACAACATTTCATGCAGTGAAAAGTAAATCTGTCAGATATTTGTGATCAATAACACTGGACTGTATTATCATAGAATTTAAAAAAAAATTGCTATGGCACATTTGTTGGTCACATACAACAAAAACTGAACGATCAATGTTAGATCCTTATCATTTCACTCCCAAAATTTACAAATAGCATTTTTGGCATAAAAGTCATACATATTGTTATCATGCCATTTCATGCATGTCCTAAGATTGTGACACGATGCATTATGTTTGTCCATAACTGTCCGAAACAGCTGTTTCATAGTAACATCTGTGATTTGTCAAGCAGGATAATAATCATGTAAACACAGTGATTAAGACTCAGATGAAGAATATATATTCTGTACATTTCTCTCTATTTTTTATGACAATAAATATTTCCAAGTGTTGATAAATACAAGGTGGTAGATTTCCATGAATGGGGACATTTAACATTTGGAGAAGACTCATAAAAGTTGTTTTTCTTCCTTTAGGCAGTGACTAAACAGTTACATGTGTTCTAAAGAGGATTTAACTGTTGTTGGTGACATTGAGTAGATGGGTAATAAGTAATAAGGCAAGCCTTAATACAGATCAGTTGAGACAAACACCTTAATTATAACTTGGCACCAAATATAAATTAAAGCTACCGGCTAGTTCAGATTTGGGGATTATTATGTGAAAAGGACAAATACATTTAATTTATGGTTAGCAGATTCAAAAGGGCATACCAGCTCTGCCAATCTAACCGATTTAGATCCTGACGCCTGCTGTGCTTAAGGGAAAGACATTTTCTCCATCATGTAGTAACAAAACCAAAATTAAAAGAAACATTCTGACATTATGGGAAAATGTGCTTACTTGCTTTCTCATTGAGAGTTAAAATAAACAACAAACAAACAAACAAAAAAAACCCAACAGACTGATATCACCAGTAGCTTACTCATGTCTCCAGGCAACTGGAGGTTTCCAGGAAACCATCCAACCCCTTCCAAATACTGAGTTTAATGCCAAGTTTTTGTACTGAAACAAACAAGTTATAATGTTCCAATTAGCACACTTTAAAAATTCATAGGTGGACTTTGTTATCTTGATTTAGAGCCAGGCTTGCTCTTTTCTCACTCGTTGCGTTAAGATAATTAGCTAACTAACTAGCTGGGGAAAGCTAACTAGCTGTAGTAGCTTCCAATTTCTATACATCCAAAGGGTGCCAAGCAATATGTATATCATAGTGTAGTAGACTATATACCTTAAGTACTTGTTTAGTGTAGTGTAGTGTGTATTGTAAAGTGAATTTAACTGGCTAAGTCTTAAATCAAAAATGGCAAGTTATGCATTTTATGTTAAAGAACATGAATTGCTAGCAGCTATATTTTGCCATCTTCTGACTGCACATATATTGCCAAAATTTCTAACAGTAAAAATGACACTGTAACAGGCATATACCCCAAGAAACAGCAAACCATGTCCATCAGGAAAAAAAAGCTGCCGCTGCTGGCTAGCTAGCAATTGGCATGCCATCACTGTGAATGACTGCTGGTTAGTGGCATCGCCCCTTTTTCTATGTACAGAAGACTGACACAACTGAAATTCTGACAGGTAATTATGCAACACTTCTGTAGCTGTATTTGTAAGTGTGTGAAGAGATTCTAAGTACAAAAGCACACAGCTTGAGACAAGGAAGAATTTCTCATCAGTCAGTAAGAAAGCAAATAAGCAGCAACCCAAATGTCAAAATATTTCTTTTACAGCAAACAAGCAGCTCAAATTGTCCAAGAAAATCTTTCAGCCCAGAAAAAACAGAACAGGGTCCACTTTATATATTGTAGTTACACTATTCATCGAAATAACCAGACAGTTAGAATATGTCACAATACACTGACAGGGAAATGCAGAAGCGGGACAGTGGGCAAGTGAAATGTCATAATTTGTTTTAATATTGCCAAAAAAGGTGTCAGCTAGACACACACAATACACATGGATATGGTGTGTGCGTAGGGAAGGCAGGGAGGTAGAGCCAATGGTGAAGGATGGGTGAATTATGTCGGGGCTATAGTTGCCTGATGGGGGGAAGGTTAAGGGTGTCCAGAGCGCTGTGGTAGAGCTCTCTCAATGCTCTCAGCAGATACAAACGACAAAACATTTGGTTGAAGAGATGAGGCAGTGGCTCCTGCAAGCAAGACAGACAAGAAGAAAGACTGAGAATATAGCAAGGGTATGTGAGGGAGTGAAAATACAGAGGAACAAAAATAACAATAAAACAACTGCTGGCTTCAAAATAAACTTCAGTTCTTTTCTGTCTGTTACAGATATGGTCAGAGGTGGCTCATCATGGGCATGAATATCATGGTAATTTCAGGCTTTCTTTGACGTGTTCTTTTTCCAGAGTGTAATGAATGCACTGCATAGATCTTTAATGACTAACAGGAACAGGAACAGGGTACATAAGTTTGAATTTATCTTGGATTTTCTCTAATCCTCCACACAATTAGAGAAAATTAATTATTCCACCTGGAAAAAGACCAGTTAAAAAAAAAAATCATTAAAAGCCTCAAAGTACTAGGATGTTCATGCATTAACGCAGTGGTTCCCAAAGTTTTTTTTGCTAGGCCCCCCTGTTTTGTCCAGACGTAAACGGCGTTTCGAATCACCGAAAATGGAGATTTTTAAAACTCCTTTTTTGCGTTTACGTGTGGACGAGGAATACAGAGTTCGTCACGCAACGTCAAAGGTATGTGCCTTTTTTCACGTCACGCTGTGCGCACGTTATTGTTTACATGAGATGAATTGCCAAATGGCAGATAGAGACAAAATACTGTTAATCTGACTATCTGCAGGTTTTACACGCTTACATACACACACGCAGTTACTGTCCCTCCGTTTAGAAAGGCAGCAGTGTCACGGTGTGATTATTTTATGTGTAGTTGTTTTTTTCCTGTGTAATAATATTCAACATTGCTATCAATACATTTTTCAAAAAATGCCTCTCTGTGCAAAATGGGTTTAAAAACATAAACAGCTGTGGGAAATCGTTTGTCTGGGATTTGAACCGGGGGAACAAATCGTGGCAGGATCAGCCTGATATTATTTGTATCCCACTGTAACTTTACTGTATAAAGAGCTAACATCTCCAAAATGTCTCCAGTAGTTAGTCATTACAACAAGTGTTTGTGAACTAAAAATCAAGAATGTGGGATACTGTTTGTCCGTGATTTGAACAGCCCAGCGTGTGCTCCCGATGAAGGGAAAACCAATTCTGCAGGGAAGACCTACCTTGGCACTTGTGCAGGTGAAACCAAAGGCAAGATATGTTTCGCCATATTTTCTAGTCTTTGGCTTATTGTAGTTGGTTTGGAAACATATTCAGCTATTCAGCTTCATCTCTTGCTTTGCGTTTCTGTGGGCGCCCCATGCTAGCAGTGTCCAAGCGTTTTGTTTTTTTGCCCCCCCTTTTCATACTGCGCCCCCCCTGCCATGGCTCTGCGCCCCCCCTAGGGGGCGGGCCCCACACTTTGGGAAGGTCTGCATTAACGAATGAGTCTATGCAATCTTCTGACCACAACTGTATGTAAATGTAGTGTATAAGAAGAAAGGGAACACACAAACACACAAGAAAAATCACATAAACGCATAAGCAAATAGATTTTGCAGCATTCACACATAATCAGAAAACCCTACTGTAAGCATATTTGCTGTGGTAATATAGAATTCAGAAAATGATTAAGTGTATGTATACAGACCGAGTACAAATATAAAATCTACTTCTTGTGGGACAATATGTATAATATAATCCAGTTAATTTGTACACACTCCCCTCTGTAAGTACACACATACATATATGAGTACATCCTTACCCCCAGCACGTGGACCCGGTTGTAGTAGGAGCTAAAGTCTTTACTGAGCGACACGAGAAATTTACAGATCTGAGGAACACAAACGTGTGTATGAGTTATATAAACATCTGCAACAGCGGACGTATCCACCTTTTCTGTTATTGCTCTTACCTGTTCAGTTTTTATGTTCACTCTGGCTCCACCCCCTTCGCTATCCAGAGCCTGTCCCGATTGTTCAAGCAGCTCCGAGAATGGAATGAGGTAATTGAACAGGAGAAGCCATTCACCCTGTCAGTTGAAACACAGTCACATGGTAGCGCTGTAGGATTAACACTGCATTACTAAAATTAGAAAGAAGTTAAAAGAAGTTACAGTTTCTAATATAATTAAAATTAAGAAAAATAATCAAATTGTAGAGAACAGCATATCATAGGAGACACTAAAGTGGCACCTCTTCTTTCAGAGCAGAGAAGTCCAGCTGGGAGTCCTCTGGGATTTCTGGGTAAAGACCTGCAGTTAAAGAGTCAGGAAAACTAAATGTAGAAACATTGTGATAGATTTTACATTACATGTTCAACATTATAGACATATTGATTGAACCCAAGAGACCAAGCAATTAGCCAAGTATCCCTTCATTTAGCTGTGGATGAAAGCTTTCATTCTTTTGGACCCTGAATATCAAGGACTCTGCACTTATTTAGGTTTATTCTCATCTTTTAGAAATAACTCTCCCAGTCATCACAGGCATTTACTCTTCATCTAAAACTCATATTACCTTTGGTGTACCACAAGGATCAGTTTTAGGCCACATATAAAATTCCGTTTAAAATGATGGCACTTCAAATCATCCAATGTCAGCATCCCTATTCACTGCTAGTTTTTTTTTTAACCTTTATTCAACCAGGAAGTGAAACTCTTGAGATGGGCCCAGAACCACTGTGTTGCCAAGGTGTCACCCCTTAGAACAGCTGACCCACCTTCTTCTTCAGCAAAACACCTGAAAATCATCATTATTGTTCCCTTTCTTCAAACCACATCTTAACATGGAGTTCACATGCAGAATAGAAGCAATTCCGGAACAATTTGATCCAGCTCAAAGCTTAGCCCTACCTAAGCTTTGAGCTGGATTTTCCAGATTTATCAGATGACATCACTCATATCCTGGTTTCTCATGGATTTTAAGATCTGATTGACACATGTGTGTAAAGCACTTTTTTGTCTGACTTGCTTTTTTTTCTTTGCTATTATTTTTTTTGATTGTTTTTGTTCTGGCTTCTTAATATTCATAACAACATTTTGTGTTTTGCATGTCCTTGGATACCACCCTAAAGCAGCTAACCTTTCTTATAACTGTGACAGAAATAAAATGCTCCACATGCAACATTATCCACCCACTGAGCAATATCGATTTCTGATTTATTTATGCAACAAAGCATCACAGTCCTGCTGAACTATAAATAAAGCTCGTTCTGGCTTTTAATAAAACTCTCTTTCTCTTCAGACTGGGTGAGGTTAAAGGAAGACTGCAATCATTGGCCACAATGATCTGAGTTACGGGAACATTTATTTACAGAAAAGCACAGCTCTCACCTTTCTCCACTCCTCTCTCGTAGCTGTCAAACAGAGTGTGCAATCGGGCGCAGTTATACATCACAAACACTCCTCCTCTGGGCCCCTTGGTCGACACACCGCCTTCCCTCTTGACGTCCAGCGTCACCTAAACATACGGCTGTCAGTCAGTCTGACTTAGCGCATTAGAGCATGGCTGCTTGAAAGGAAACAGTGCTGTACTGATGACTCACAGGACTAGTGTGGACAGTCGACAGCAGCTCGAATCTGACTGTAGCAGAGGTCATGACCTTGATGATGTCATCCCACGTCTGACCTTCAAGAGGAGGAAGCACTTGTCTTCAGTTAATTCAGTTTACTTACAGTCTATATGCACAATGAGAATGCGCATAAACACACACACCTTCTACTTGATCTCCATACTTCATCTCGGAGGCCTCTTTCATCTGACCTCTTCTCAACCTGGAGGAGAGAAGGAAGAATAGAAGGCTCATTAATACAGGGAACCGAGCTAAAAATACACCACAATTACACGCAGACGAAGAAAAGCATCAACAGCGTCTTATTCATCACATCTGCAACGTTACGGTGCAGGGAAGATGATGGTAAGAGTGTTATTGGTGAAAACAAACACATCTGGTGGGGATCTGGGCAGGGTGTGCGGAGGAGTAACAGAAATGACATGAGTATGTCACAAAAAGGACGAGAGAGGACAAGGGATAAAACAAAAAAAAAGAGGCAGAAGCACAGACAGAGGAATTGATGTGTCTTACTGCAAGTACTGTGCAGCAGTCAGGTGTGAACCAGGAGTCTTCACAGGCCCACAAACAAGATGCCTCTGCAGAAACAGAAAGCAGAACAGGTAAAAATAGGAACCCTTCATCACTGCATAGTGTGTGTGTGTGTGTGTGTAGCTACCTGTGTGTGTTTGGCTCCGCTGGCTCTCCACAGCATTGCTATCTGCTGCTGGCGGAACTCATCTTGACAGGAAGTCACATGTAACGCTGTTACCATGGCTGCCTATGAAAGAGGCAGTGACAAAGTTAAAATCAGTGCTTTGTCTGCCCGTTTTATTTTGGGTTTTTTTTATTAATAATTTTATATTAAAAACAAAGACATGGAGTGTGTTTGTCTCACTGTGCAGTCAGCTGTGGATAGGTCCAGTTGTGCCAATTGGGAAACGCCGTCTCTGTTAACTAAAACAGGACAACAGTCTGTCAGCTGTTATTATACAATATGAAATCTCTGTTATCTCATTCATCTTTTATCTAAGCTAAGCTGCATCAATGCAGTTTTATTACTTTGGGAACTAAGCTTGCTGGCTTTCTTGGAATAAGTAGGTACCCCTCAGACACACACACACACACACACACTGGAGAAAGTTGGCTTAGCTTAACGTAAACATAAAACAGTCTTCTAAGCTCACTAATTAAACGGGAATGTTATAATTATGAGTGCCGCAAGTTATTCTTGGCCAGGTGAGAAGCTTGCCGGAGTCTCCTGGCAACCAAACTGGAAACACGAAGTTTGAGGAGGTCACTGGCTCAGCAAGAAGCAATTCTGGCACAAATCCTCAGATAAAAATAAAACAGAGCTTGATTTATTTGAGTGGACTGCTATTAGCTTCAGTAAAGAGAAAACTGCCAGTTTCATTTTTTTATTTTTTTTTGGACAAGCAGGAAGATGAGATATAGAGATTTCTAGACCTTGACACAAAAAGCAACAACTGATCAAAAATATTTGCTCTGGATTTGGATAAACTGATCATTCTTCATGATGAGGTGTAAAGGAAGGCCTGTGGTAAGCAAGGGAACAACGGGGGAAAGCACTCAGACTCACCCGTGCAGGTGCCAAGGCTGGGGTCGTATCCCGGCAGCCCCTCCTCTTGAAAAACTTGCTTCAGGTTGATCCTGAGTGCTCCTTCGTTCTCTCCCTCCTCTGCTTTCCTCCCTCCCCCTCCGCTAGCTCTCCTGCCTCTCTCCATTTCCCTCTCTCTGTATTGAGACTTCTCTAGCGAGTCCTGAATCTTCTCCTCCCGCTCTTCATTCGTCCAATTAGCCGGAGCTGTCGGCCAATCGATTCCCAGAGCTCGGAGGAAACTGATGATTTCGCTGTCTTCAGGAAGTGTGGGGCAGAAGGACACGGCATATCTAAGACAGAGAAAGGGATTAATTAACAGTTGCATCCATTGGTGGTTAATTGATTAGTCTATAGATTATCAAGAAGCCAATGGTAAAATCTTTCAAATGTCCACTAATGCAAAAAAGAGAAAAATCAGCTAATTGTCACATTTGGGAAGCAGAAAACAGTTAATTAAGGGAATTTTCCAGTGTTATGATGACTGTGTTATTAATTCATTTTGAATGAGAGAAAAATTAAAACCAAGAGGATTTTAAAAGCCCAACATTTCTGGCAAGGTTTACAAGGTCCAGATCCATTAACCAGACTCACCCCTGTCTTCTCAGCAGTGCCCCCATGTGGTCAGCCAGAAGAACAGTCCTCAGCTGGCCTAAACTCATTGTGTCAGGACTGGGTGTGTTGGGCTTAGGGTGCAGTGCGGGACAGTTGAGCACCACACAGCCCTGCCTCTGACTCAAGGGCTTCAGGTACTCTGCAGCTCCACCCGCCAGAACGGCCCTGAATGTGGCAGCCCGATCCACCCGTACCCTTAGACCTTCACCCATCACCTCCCCACCAGCCACAGGGAGAACCCCACTACCACGAAGGGACAGCACTCTGGACATCACTGCTGGAGGGACCTGGGAGGATGTAAAAATAGATATAGGATGTCACATACAAGCTATAAGAAAAGTATACTGTATGAAGGGCGTTTTTATTGTTTTTATAAGTATTAATGATTGTCTGATGTATGATACAGTCATGCAGTTATAATCACACATTCCTCCCCTAGCATTAGCATTGTATTAAAGAATATTTGCAAAGAGGTTTGTCAACTTGGGGGGCATTTTATGACTCTGATCTCTCATTTAAGTCTAATGTCATGCAATCCTTCTTCATTCAGCTTAAACAGATATCAAAAATCAATTAATTCAAAATCCTGCTGACAGGCACCAGTCCTTGCAATCATTCTTTGGCTACCTGTTAGCTTTAAAAATTAATTTTAACATTTTATTCCTGGACTTTAAACCCCTACATAGTCTGTCCCCTGCCTATATCTATGAGATGTTATTTTAAATGAGCATGGCTGCTGCCCACTAACAAAGCATGTTCTTGTTAGTAGTCTTTAAAGCTTGTTTAGTCACTAAAGATGATTGAGGCTTTGTAGTCCAGGTCTCACAACTTTGGATTTCCCTGCCTGAGCATCTCATCCAGGCTAATTTTGTAACCTCTTTTAAATCTCTTAAAGCACATGTTAATCATCCGCTTTCTATAACTGCTCATGCGGAATCTTTTTCATTTTTAAGACCCAAATGTGTATAAATGTTTGTTTTTCCTTCTTTTTCCTTAATCTTTTGAATTTTTAATTGTTTTTAAATTCCCACTGTAGTCATGCTTAACTCCAACTTTTCATATTTGTTGCTTTTATTATTGCTAAGCACTTTGTAACATTGTTTTAAAAAGTGCTTCATGTTTTATTTGTTCTATACACATTTTTGCAAATAAAAAAATGCACACCATTCTCAGTATCTCTCAGTGGGAAAAAAAAACCATTGGATAATGGAGTCTGCTTTAGAAATCAATGCCAGTGCATCTCTACACTGTAAACAAAACAAGTGCATTGTGGAACATAACACATGCACAAGGATACAAACAAATATGTACTAATCTGTTTCTTTTTTAATCTTTGCATTGTCATATTTTATGGCTGAAGAGAACAAGCTTCAAACGGGGTCTTTTTGTGCTCTGTGTAACGCAAGTTGCAGCACAGCCAGCTTGGCCTTTCTGTCTATCTGACCTATATTGTATGTGTCAGTCATGGGTTAATAATTACTGCTGCAGGCTGTTAGTGCCTGGTCGATGATGATGTTGGAGCAGTGTCAGCAACCTGATCATTCCACGGTACCAGGCCCTCTTAGTATCATTCAGATGTACCTACTGTTTTGCGAATTTAGGTGTTATTTGTGACACCGTGTGGCATTCACGGGCAGTCGGAATCACCTGAGCACTTTAAAGCAGATAGTTCCGGTCCCTCGCTCCTATTGGTCGAGTCACGTTCCAAACAGCTGAAAACACCTTTATTCATTTTTAATATCACTGTATAACTGCGCGAAACGAACTAGCACTAACATAAACACACTAGTACCGAGGAAGTACACCGCTTAGCGGAAGAATAAAATGAAGAGCCGTTTATCGGAACTTAAATGTGTATTCCCGCTGTCTAGTGACAGCGTCCGGTTTGACTAGATTTAAGAAGCGTGTTCAGAAAGCGCATTGAGCGGCTTAGATTCTATTTAGCGCTATGTTGAAATAACATAAAACAGCACACTCTGAAATTAGCATGGAGTCACACATAGGCTAATATATCCAACAGGTATCAGTCAAACCAACCTGTCCGTCCGCGTACAGCGTGTTAAGCATCGTGGTCGGCGACAAGAAGTCCCTGTTTCGTAGATTTTTAGCGCTGCTCTCCTTAAACCAAAGCTTCTCCGGTTCAGGGAATACCCTGTCACCGTTTACACGGCTGGAACCGTGGACATCTTCACGCTTCCCCCGCAGCGCGGAGCTCAGAGCACGGACTGTAGGGGTGATGCGAAGGGGCGAGAGCTCCTCGATGTTCTCCATCATCACCACCACCACAGCACAAACAGGTGAGCTTTCTACCAGTCAGCTCATTCACCCTCTCCTCATATCTTGTGTCAAGGCGTCGTCCCGCTGCTCGCGTTGACACGGGCGAAGATGAGCCTGATTTTGGGTTACGCTAGCCGCACGGTTGCTCGCTGGTTGATGTCAGATGTTGCGCTGCATTGCCTGTTTTCCTCTTTGCGGAACTAGTGAAATGTAATCTGTGTTTTCCTACGACATACATTCGCGTGTCGGACCAGCATGGCGCCATCCAGTGTTAGGTGAAATAACTGCAGTAGTTGTGCCCCAAAATTTGTGCATACTGCTCTCTGTACTGAGAATCTGGAATTTTGTTAGGGTTTGGGCTCGCCACCTCTGATCCAGTGAGGGAGAAGGGTCAATCATAAGGTGAGCCCACAACTCAAAAGTTGACCCTGGTCTTAGAAACCCAACATCATGAAATCCTTCCATCAGGGGTGAAGTTTAGTTAGATCATTTTCTTATTGCTTACTTTTTTTTTTCTTTTTCTTTTTTTTTGCTAATACAACCACAAATAGCTTTGTGTGTAGAAACTTAACATGCAGCAATTTTCACATTGGTCAATTAAGCAAATGGTTTTTTTTAAGATTGTAAATAAAGTTATGGGTAGCGCAAAAGAAGGTCCTTACAGCAGTTCAAAGACATGCAGTTAGGTGAACTGGTGATTCTACATTAGCCGTAGGTGTAAATGTGAGTATGAATGATTGACAACCTAGCAGAGCAGCTTTTCAGTTATTAAATACAAAGCTGAGTGCAGAGAGAACCACAAACAAGTAGCAACCGAAGACAGCTGCAGCAAAAGCCTGGCAGAATATCTCAAAGGAAAAAACACAGCATTCGGTGAAGTTCGTGGGTTCCAGGCATCAGGCAGTTACTGACTGCAAAGGAATTTCATCCAAGCATTAAAACAGTAACCCTTATATTTAAAAGTTTGTAATTTTGCCCAAGTAATGTTTGATCATTTTGATAGGTGTATAGAGGCAAAATTATCAAAAATTGTCTCTGTCAAACAAATTATGGACCTAAAGACATGGAGATCCCATTATCTCTATGATTTAAAGATTTCTGTCTGAATAATGGAAGTATGTTTCCAACATGAACTAACAACAATAATAAACCCTCTAATGCTTTTTTAAAAAAAAAAAGATTATGTTGTATCTATGCTCTACCAAAGCGCCACCATAATAGGAGCTGCAAATGCTCTAAGAACTTGAGCCTATAGTCATTGTATTATTTCACGTCCACTGTGCCAAAGCTCAGAGACAAACTGCAGAAAATGTGTCATTGTCCCATTAATGACACGCTGCATTTCGAGCAAAGAAAAGGAAAACAACAATGATGAAGCTAGTGTCAGTGACGGGCACCTAGCTTGGAGAAAAGTCCTCCTGCAACTGCACACAGGTGCTGGAGGACATCCATCTGCAGAGGTCAATGGACCATAACAGGAAAATGCCTTATAATGTCAGCTCACAACCATGATTGAAATAATCAGTTGATGAAACTACGAGAAAAAGCATGAAGTCTTGGAGTGCTATCTAGTTCCCTGCACTTTCTGCCTGATCAGACCGCCGACTGTCTGACAGCTGTCAAGTGCCTCAGTCCACATTTCTTCTTATTATAAACTACTAAGGTGATATTCAATGACATCAAAATGCTTTTGTCATGGAGGAGAAAGATTGATGAATATTTTTTTACATTTTGTTTTAGCACTGAAACATATTTAACTCTCAGTAAGGTGTTTTATAGGCTAGAAATAAGTCAGTGTAACAAAGAAACTTTAATTGTCTGAGCTGCCGTTGAGGCAGATAATGCACTGCACATTACGCTTGGAAATTTGATTTCACTCCAGAAATGACAGACAAAATGGATTTAGTAAATGTGAGCAACAAACAGGACTTCATGTTTGACATGGCTTAACACCTCTCGTGTGAACATGCAGCAGCTTTCGGTTCACAGGAAAGGGATGAGTCAGTATAGCGCTGACGTCTGGATGTCCTGATGGTGTGCAGTTAGACGTGCAAAGTCTTGCTTTCCTGTGTCCTAAAAACAAAATGAAGCTTAATGGTTCAGTGTTTGGCTAGCACTCTGGCTGCATTAATCACACTGAACTGAAATAAGGTTTTTTTAAAAAGTGTCTTTACTTCTGTTTATCCCGGCTCCCTTAAGTGCTGCTGGTCAGATAAATATGGCAAACACTTTATAGTTCTTGATGTTCTAAAGCTACAGCAGCAGCAGAGAGCTTCGACACTCTCATCTGATACAGGCAACTCTAACATTTAAAGTTTGTTCAAACAAAAGAAGACTTTTTAAATGTAAAGTAGGGAAATGAGCCTATCTTCTATTAACCTCTGGCTACATTAGCCGTAGGCTCAGGGACAAAGACTGCCCTCTGTAGGACGAGTATAGCTAAGAAAAAACTACTGACTTGAATCACACACTCGGTTAGTTTAACCCTCACTGTCACTCATAACTGACCGAGAGCTTATAACTAATCTGAGAAATGAAGGGATCATTTCAGGAAAAGACTCCGTTTCCTTATCCTAAAGATTTGTTCTTTTGAAGGAATGATTTGGAACCGGGCAGTGCAGAGCGACTGCAGCAGCTGTGCTGTAATACTGCTCCTGCCTTGATTTTATTTTTATTTTTTGGGGGGGGGAGGTCAAGTTTTCTGGTTCTGCATTTGCATGATGTCCAAGCCTGTTGTCCTATATTTACTTTTTTGCCTCGGGGAAGTACCTGATCTGTTATCTGTTGGTTCACAAAGGTCCATCTACAGTACAGTGGATTACACAATACCAACCCTTCACTTTATCACGAACCTGTTTTAGCCCAAACATTGCTGTAACATAAGACTTGCCTTAAAAGCACATTAAATAACATGCCTAAACTTAAACTGCAAATATTTACACCAAGTAGGTGTGCCATGTGTTACCATACACCTGCAGACAGACCTGCTCTGATTGGATGATATATTTGCTCATCATTGTTAGGTTTTATTGAGCCTTTCCAGTGTTGTTTAGCCAGAGAGTTAGACTTTGACTTCTTTCATTCAGAGTCAGAGTACAATCAGAATACATATCATAAACAATATGTGATACTGGGATGTCCTTTGCTTAGCAACATAAAATCCATTAGGAGAGGTTGTTATAGTTAAATAAAAGTAAATTAAACTAGATGTTAAGAAATATTTTAGTTTGTGTGTTGTTGTGTGTAATATTTTTTAAATGACTTTTGAGAGCAATTAAAACTAACTGAGGCAATTTTGTGCACTACAATAATTAAATAAAGTAAAGCTGTGAAGAAAATATCCCTAGTTTTAGTATCTGTTTGTTTAGTATAAAAAGAAAGTATTAAAACTTGAGTCATGAGGTGTTGAAAGACTGTTGGAGACTCTGAATGTCTACAATACTATGACACAATTTGAGTGAACTGCTTTCCAAAAGTTGTTTTTATTGTAATACCTGTACTAATTTTCCTAACTCTAGCCTCTGACACATGCCCTCCATACAATAATAATTAGACTTAAACCAAGAGTGAAACTAATTAAACCGAAACTAAAACAAACCTTTTTTTAACGATAAAAACAAACATGAAATAAGGAAGCATCCTCTGGAAACTAAATAGAAATTAAAGAACAATAATAGAATCCAATAAATATGAATAAGACTACAAATCTGTGATAACTTTGCTAGAAGGTGAGATTTGTAAATGACTATTTGTTTTCGCAGTATTTTGGCTGTTTATCGGTGTTTTTTAGTGTGTTTACTAGGGTTGAGAGTGACTGGCGTGACGTGGATGACGGTATCAGGAGTTTTAAAGGGGGGATGAGGGGGTGGGAGACAAATTCTCCTCTTTTTGCACGTCGTCTTTCGGCGGAGCTGTATGACGCACGGGGTGCAAAGATTAAATAAGTCTTTTTAAAACTGTGTTTGTGTGATTTTGTTTGTTTATTTTTGGTTTTTAGTAAGGTGAGACGTGTTGTTGGGGTAATTGAACGCAACCCCAGGATGCACAACTGGCAGGAGAACGAAATCCGAAGACTGCTGAGGATCCGCAACTTGATCGCGGGCACGGCGAGAACTCCGCGGTTTACCGGCGGATAAACAGCTGCTGGCGGAGAGGGTCGTCCGCGGGTCACTGTACCACGAGCAGAAGACCCGCTGCGGGACCGAGCGCGTCGGCTAGCTGATACGTAGACAGCGACGTAATCTTCGAAATGCCCAGGCGGGGAACCCTGTGAAGCGCTATCCCCAGCACCTACACCCGCCACGCCCACCTCCGCACCGAAGTGCAGTCAGGGACGAAATGGACGACAGACAGCTCAACAAGCACCTGGGCCCAGCGGAGGTGGATTACGACGAGGACCAGTACAGCCCCCCAGAACACGTGCACACAATCAGCCCCGTGAGTTTGATTCTGTTGTAGGGCAATTTTGCAGGGGCGGTGCTAGATGCTATCAATCAAGCGCTGGTATCAGTATCAGATCGATTCTAGTGCAACAGGGTCAATACTTAGTTTCTGTCCTCGAAGTTCAGTACTTCTAAACCGAATTGTTCATTTTTATTTTTTAAGAATGGAAAAAAAACCTTTAAACTGCACTCTAAAAAATGTCTGAACCATTCTGTTGAATGTCTTTATTTGTAGCCTTCAGCACACTGAAACAACAAGCTTGTTTGACGTTTGAACTTCTATGGAGACCAGTGCATTTAGATTCCAGTAAAAATCACTAAAATAGTATAGAGTGTGAATTGGTCGTGAGGTGCAGATATCACATAGACTGGTTTAAACACACTACTGCACAGGAGGTTTTGGTCCATTTACACTTTACTCTGTTTATATTCTCTATACAGGTCTGGCTCCACAGAATAGCTCAAGCCTTTTACAGCAGGTAGTGAGGTCTGTGGGAGCTACATGATTTTTTCTGTGCACATTGAAAACCTACAACAAAGCCCAAGCATTCATGGCTATTCGTCAGTTTTCAAATTATCAGCAAAGACCATGCAGAGGTGTTTATTATTATGCCATATACTTTTGATGTTGGGGTTTAGTGGAAAGGACTTTCTGAAATTGATCGACATGCCCTTGGATGTTCTCAGTATTTAGGTGTAGGTGGGCTTCATTGTTGCACACACATTGTCTTTGAACACAAATTTTCACTGATGAAGTCAGACCAGCATGTTTGTAAGAATAAAACAGTTGGATCCACTCTGTCAGATAAGCTAGTTTTTAAAAGAATGCCATCAGATTCCTGCACACATTTAAACTGACCTCTGGCCAGTATTTGGGTCTCCAGTTCTTTATCTAATCTGTAGGAAATCTGCATAAGGAACAGTATCACTTATTCAATATTCTGTCCTTATCAGGAGGCTCTTTTATTGCTGGAGTTTGTTCTATTCACCAGAGTAGATTTGAAGGGACGACTGTTAGACCGGTGGCCATAGTTTCACTTTGAGCAGACAGATGAAAGGGTGTCTCTGTCTTCTAATTGCATGCTGCAATGTCTTTGTTTTACAGCACACGCAATTCCATCAGAGAGAAGGAAAACGCCGGTGATGGAGGAAGTCTCCACATCAGTGTTGGCGACGGACGCCCAGATCAGAGAGATGGACGCCTGTTTGCAGAGGTTAAAGGAGCATGAGAGGGAAATGAAGAACAGTCTCATGAGCCAGTTCATAGCCATGAATGAAAGAATAGGACATGACACCTCAAACTTGTGAAAGACTACTGTCCAAGTTTCCTTTGCCTTTGGCTCCTTCAGGCTGCTGACTGACTCGTTCTTGTGAGAATGGCACTTGTTCACCAGCTGTCCAGTGCCTCAGCCTAAATTAACCTCAACTCTGTTCAGTTGTAGCTACTACTGATCCAGGTCATGTTCACACTTTTGTTTTCTGTGAATTGATTTCAGTCGTTAGTTAACCAGTACATGCTTTTAGATGCATACTGTATTTCAGTTTTATTGTACCAGCAAAGCAAATGTAGAAAATGAATAGCTGGTCTTTCTGGTTCTGCCTTTGCTTTTTGATAACACAGCCTACTGTGGAAGACTAAATTGAGTGGCTTTCCTTGTGTCAAAGAGTGCTGTGTGTTTTCTTTTCTTTTAAATTTCCCTGAGCGCGCTCACCTTCTGTGTAGCTGTGTGTAACTCAGATTTTCATTTTGTCTACAAATGACTGTAAGCAAGAAAGAAAATGCAGTAGGCATGTTTGGCTTTTCTAAAAAATTCTTTTCTATAGAAATGCGGGTGGTTTGATCTACATTCCTCTTCACTCTCAGTGCTTTTGAACCATTTAAGCTTCACCATCATGCTTCTGGGATCTGAGTTGTGTGAGTCTGAAAATCTGCATTTGGTGGATTAATACCTGCAGCGTGAACATAAAATAGAAGATAGCTGAGTTAGTCTAGTGTCTGACACGCGGGTGGGTGTATTCCTCCACCAACCAGGCAGGACATGTTTGAGTGAACACTGAAATGTAACACAAAGTAGGATTGCGCTCAGCTCCAGATCTTAAACATGTATCGCGTGCCCGGTCTTGACAAATATGAAAACAAACAGAATACAGGCACGAGACAAGAAACATTCATTTTACTTACCAAATATTGAAAGCATATTTTAGCTGAGACATCATCAGGATAGTCTGATGTATAATAAGATGAAATAATATTTTAGAATATAGTATAATAATTGTATAGAAATGTGAGGTGAGGTCCAATCCCCAATCAACAAAGAGGACACACCGGCACGATAGAGAGCAGGTTAACCACTCAGATGAGAAAACTGCCATGAAAGAACAAAACAAAAAACATCACGTCATCATCCACAGTTAAATACTACAATAAGTTATAGCAGAATAAAAATCTAATAGACTTGTATGAAGCTTTATCCCAATATGTTTGTCTTTATTTTGAACCAACCAAAACAGAATCTCTTATGAAGCCAAATATGAGCTCTGCTTGTTGAAAGGTTTCACCCTCTTTTACAGGGTCGGTGATGGCAGGTGTGGACTCAACACGGAACCTGCTGCTCAGTCATTTCCTGCGATCTTGTGGAACTGTCGAATTACAGGTACTCCTCTGTAGGTGATGCTGTTTGGTGTAATCGAGGGCAGTTTTTTCCTCACTCTTATAGATTAAGCAGGCTTGAAAAGGCAGATAATTGTATTGATTACATGGTTTATGTTTACATTTATTTGATTGTTGTAAGATGTTATATCTGCAGGGTCTTGTAAAGTTTTATTTTGCCTGCTGACATGTTTAATGTCATTTACCTTTACTTCTTTCATGATGATTTCCTCACAGCCACCGTTGCCTGCTGTCTTGTTCTTTGTGCCGTGCAGCCGAGTGTCGTCTTTGATGATTGGTGTTTTGGACCTCACCTAGTTTATGTAATCCCCGACTATTGCGTTTTGCCAATGAAGGCTCCAAGCCCAGACACATGGGCCTTACCCAACAATGGATATTAAGAAGAACACGTATACATATTGTGTGCTGGTTTGTGGAAACAGTGGGCCACGCTCATTTGTAAAAGCAGAACAAATCGCAGCTGCTGCTTTGTGATGTGTTTGGAGGAAATGGTAAAAGCTTGTAATGTGATTTGACATTTACAGGACAACATGGGTTGTCACGAGCTTTCCGAGAAAGCATTGTTGTCATACATAAACCAGGTAGTAGTACCAAGAGGACGAGAAAAACCACTGTTATTTACTGTACATATGTACCATTGAAACCGTCGGTGGTAGAGCGCATTATAAGCAACGTGCCACAATGGGCACTGCAAGAAAAATAATAATAACTTCAACTGTCAGTTTAAAGTTTGAGGTTTATTAGAAATACCTGTTTAGCAATACAATTAGTTTTAAAAAAAAACAACAACTACACACATTTTAAATATTGAAAGTAAAAAATCATTTTCAGCTGCCTCCTCAGTTGCTGTTTCAGGTGTCATTCTTGGCTGACACGAAATTCCCGGTTGCGTTTCCTGCTCACAGCAATCCGGGAGAAAACGTGTCATTGAGGAAAAACACCTCTGCATCAGTCAGTTGCGAACCACTTTTGCAGACCGGCGACAGAGTGTTACATGACCTTACAGGCGTTAGTTTCACTTTCTTCACTGATTCAACAGAAACAAAACCACAGGACTGCCCTGCGTGGGCCGTGATGGTGAACAGCGAGACAGTAGCTGTTATCAAAAATGGGTTTTCTCAGTGACTCAGCTGGGTATTTTTACCCCAGATGCTTTTATAGCGTTCTTTGCTGCCACTGGTTTTTTACTTTTACTGTTTAAACATGGTTTTTGTTCTTCGTGTGAGAGTTTTGAACTGACGTGACATAAATTCTGTCTTAAAAACATTTGGTGACCTGCAGTGTTGAAGCGTAGTGTCTGATGTGTGGAAGGAAGGAGGATGCCCCACCGGGCTGATGGGTCGGGGGATGTCTTGTGCGCCGTGGGATGGAAACGGACCCCATAACCAGCTGGGGCTCAGAATCACAGCTGCATTATGGGTTCCGTTACAATCCCACCCACAAACAGAGGGTTTCAGCAGGGCTGGCCTCAGGTCAACACGGCTAAAATAAAAAAGGGAAAAAAAGAACAAGTTAGAAACAGAAAGTAGGTGAATTTACATAATATGTTTGAGAGCAGTGAACAAACTCACTTAGACAACCTGAAACGGAAAAACACAAGTGAGCTTTTCGATGCATTACATCATGTTTGTTTTGCACTGAGAAACGAGTAAGGCGCTTTTTAGTGATTTGAAATTGAGAATTGTGGCTTGTTTCCATTGTGGGGCTGCGCGAGCAGCTGAGGGTTTAGATGATTCAGTGGCAGTCGCAACACTAACTTCCTCTGGCTCGTTTTGTTCTGGTTTTTGGGCGCTGATGCGACCTGATCTCAACAGACCTGCAGTGGTTCACAGTGGATCTGAATGGAAATTGTGTAACCTCCACCATGATGTACTTTAAGTTATTTGGCTGAAATGTGAACAATTTAAAGAAAAAAAAAGAAGATGTATTTCATGAATGAACAAGTGAAAACCCACTTTGTGATACATTTCATTTCTTTTCTTTTTTTTTTTTTGATAAAGTTTGATCATTTTCAGCCATTTATTCCGACTCTCTAACTGCTGGTTTATGCTTCTGCAGAAGCAGACATTTAAGCCTATAAGGCGATCAGAGTCCAGTGTTCTTTATGCTGTAACATAAAAACAACCATTAAAATCACCCAGCTACTCAGGTCTAACTCTGTGATTTAAAAGTCCCACATAGATTCAGACCGACGCAAGGAGATTTAGTTTATTACTCCAAACACGACACACCTCCCAGTCACACAGCAGCTTGGCTCATTACAGTAGCTTAAAAAGATTACAGGCTCACCATTAAATTTGTAATAAAATGGTCAAAGATGTTAGCGAGAGTTATGGGATACAAACTGCTTTTTACAGAAAACTCTTATTAACCAAAACAGGTTTCTGGAACTGATAATAGATGCTTTTGTAAAGTCTTCTGTTCTTTTAAGTTAAATAAGTTACTGTGTTGCTGTCTGATTGAACGCTCTTAAACCAGAGTGCGTCTTAAAGAAATACTCCACTTAAAGGTTTGGTCTGCTTGAGGGGGAAAGGTAGCAGAACAACTGTACAGCTTTCCTGAGAGGCAGGAGTCAGAAGAGGAAAAAGTAGTTTTTGTTTTGGCCCAAATAAAGCATATATGTTAAAAAAAACAAAACGTGAGGTTCAGCTTGTCAGCTTTAATTAGATATTGAAAATAGACCCATCACTTACTGTAACTACAGTCATAAATAGGACTATATAGGTATTCTAGCTTGAAAAACCAGTTTTGTGTTATCAGTTGTCAGAAAGAAAAAGAAAGCAAACAACAGAGGGGGCGCGGGAGGTCAATCTGACAAGGAAGAGCTGATAGAAACGATAAAAAGGAAGAAGAGAGCCGACGAGAAAACTTTAAGGAAGAGATTTCCATCGTGGGACTCTTCCTGTGAAGCCTGAAATACGCCTCACAGCCTCGCTCTGCCCTGTAATTAACAGCTAATCCAGGAAAACAAAAGACAAAGTCACTGAAAGAAAGATGCCTCGCAAAGGAGACAAAACAGCAGCAGCTCAAAGATACTTTCAGTTTGTCTTGTCGGCTTAAACCCCTGATTTAAACCTGACGACTTTGTAGCTCTTCTACAGTGTGTGGGAGAATTAAACAAACCCATCCGTTACAATCAATTAAAAAAAACAAACTGTGTGTGGGAGGAATGTGAGGAAAGAGTTAAAGTTAAACTGAATAAGGAGAGAGAGAGAGAGGTGGAGCCATTCAGAAGCCAAGCAAGAGAATGAAAGCAAAGTGAGTGTACACAAGGAGCTGTCAGACACACGGCTCATCATTAGATTCAGTGTTGCTGAAATTTAAAAAGCTTTTACTTAAATGTCGAGCGGCTCACCTGCGCGTCTGAGCGCTGCGTCGTCCTCTGCAGTCCCGTCTGCCAACAGCTCTGGGACTCCAAACTTCCTCTTTAAATACTCCACAGATTCATTTCACTTTCACTTCTCCTGAGGGCAAAACTCCTCCTTTCCTTCCTTTATCCACTCCCACTGCCCCAACTCGCCTCTCGCTCTCCGCACAGAGACGGCAGCTGGTTTTCTTTATTTAAAATGCATTCTAGACAAACAAAAAACACCCACAATTGGTGAAAAAGTTCACTTTTATGTGCCTTACTCTGTTTAAAATTGTTGTACAGTAAGCACAACCTCAGTGTATTTAAACTTTAACTGATTCAAATGCTTTCATTTATCATGAAACAGCCATATGTTTTATACATTGTTTTATTGTCTGTAGTACATATAAGTGACACACGATCAGTTTTTATGACTTTATGACATTCATTTTCATTTTCATTCTCCTGTAGTGACTGTAAATTAACATATTTTTATATTTTATAAAGGATCAGATTATTCAGATTAAAAAATACAAGTTTAAGTGCATGTAGGTTTTAGTTTGAGGTGCTGATGTAATTTTTAAAAAGTCAGATTCATATCTTTCGAACAAATTAACTTTATTTTCAGTGAAAACACTTCTATGGTGCTTAAAAAAATAAAACTGGAAAAATCTGGATTATCCAGGACCAGAAGATATTCTAGTTTTTTTTTTTTTATGTTGTGAGCCTACACAAAAAACGTTATTCTCCTTCACTTTGTTTTGGTGGATGGTTAAATCTCCACAACTTAAACCTACTCAGTCCTGTTTGGGTTAACAAATAGGGCATAAGAGTGTCGTAAATAAGTAAAGGTGCATTTTTAATTTAATCTCATAAACTGTTATTGTAGATCAGGTTTTAACACCATGCACAGATAATAACCAAAAATCATTAGTAAAATAATTATTGGACTCTGTTTTTTTTTTTTTTTTAATTTATACAATAAAACATCATCTGATTGAAATTATACTCAATTGTTTCCACTGCAAGAGAATGCAGAGTGTATTATATTATATATCATTTTCACACTGAAAGTAGGGTAAGGAAATGAATCAGTCACTTTAAAAAAAAGTCATAATTAGAATCTGAAACACAATATATGAGAGATACAGTTCTTTAAGTGACTCATTTCCTTACCTTACTTAAATGATATATAGTTTAACTGATATTTAACCATTAATCATGTGAATTATATACCCATTTGTTTATTCCAAAGACTACATAAATGTATTATTAGTTTTCTAATGTTTTCTACAGCTATGAGTAGCTGTAGTAATGACTTAATACTCATAATAGTAGTGACAGCAAAGGTGGTGTTAATTGTAACCATTAAAATGGGCTAAAATCAGTTAATTTGGATTTCTTTAAAGTTTAATATTGCATTGTAATATCGTAACCATTGTTTTATCTGTGTATGGTTTGGGTATGTCTCACAATGTCGGTAGAATGCTGCTGAGAAGGATGTAACATGAACATACAAATAAGCTTAACCCTTTCAAACGTGTTTTCATCTGAAGGTTTCTTATAACCAGAGTGAGCCTTTGTACCCGACGACGGTCACTCAGCATTAAAGGAGACATTGTGGGAGTAGTATCGCCTATTTTTGCAATTTTTTTTTGGAACAAATAAAAACCTTAAACAAAAAAACAGCCTCTGCCATGACCACTGCACCCTTACCAGAAATAGTAGGAGAAGTACAAATGGTGGCTTTATTTCACAGATCAGGGTTTGGTTTCACATGTAAAACCTTCATCTATCCATTGTGCTAATTGAGGCATGTAAACTGACTCTTTCCTGTGTGTTAATTACAAACGTCTGCGTGCGACATGATGGATGAACCGAGGGCAGGTGTGACCAACAGAGTGTGACCGGACAACTCCCATCAGACGGTCTGCGTGTCAGCCTGGAAAGTCCGGGAGATTCAGAGGAATACCTGATGCTCTCTGGAGACCTCCAGCAGAAAGGAAGATGTGGAGGTAGGCGGAGAAAGGGTGGTGGCTTTCTATGTGATGGTGGAAACCACTGTCCTCGAAGCAAGATTGGACTGAGTGGCAACAAACTGAGCTTCTCTGGAAACTCTAGGTGGGCAGATCCATCCAAATGTTAATACTATACCCGCACAGATGGAAAAGAGTATCGATCTGATACTAAGTTCACTGAATTGTGTTAAACTGTTTTATTAAAAGGATTTAGTGGTCATTAAAATGTGTTCAGAATTTGCAAATTGAGGATTTCTTAAAAATTATGACACACTGCTCTCCCCTAAATAAGCTGCGTTTACAGGTTAAAGTATCAGTACCTGTGTTTGTATCGGCAATACTGGCCCTGTATTTGATAGGTATCAGATTGATACCAGAATTTGCAGAATCACACAGGACTACTGGAAACCAAAATAAATGTCATGATGCTTTCGTGTGTGTGTTCTCCTTAACTTTACAGCATGTAAAGATTGATTAATATTCTGTCCTGATGCAAACTGCAAAGAATTACTTTGAAAGGCTTTTATCTGTTTGATACATTAAGTTTTGAAGTTGGATGTTTAGTTCCAGTTCTTCAGTGCAACCTACTCAGGTCAGCTAAGTATATAAATGTACAAATTTTAAACAATTCTTCAAATCAGATTGAAAAAGAATATTTCGTATAGACCCCTATGACCTCTTTTATCAAACATAAAATTAGAAATTAATCTAAAACAAGCCTGTTTTTAAGGTCTGACTTAAATGGAGTAAATTGAGTGGATGATGATATAAAGTGTGTAGAAACTGGCACACAGATGGCCGTCAGCTCTCGCTACTAACGAAGTTGAAATGAATGGGTCGGCTTCACTGCTTCCCTACATTAGATGAACAGAAACTAAATGGTCGGTTTAGAACAGTTTCTCATCTACAAGCTGCAGCACATCCTTTTCTCTTCCCTCAGGTAACATGAGAACGTGCAGGGCACAAGTTACTAGATAGGGATTCTTTAAAGTTTTAGCAAAGTTGTTCAATTAAACAAAAACAGACCACAGCCACTTATGAAAAACACATGCTTTATTACTGGACATTTTTCATCTTGAAATGGACACAGCAGGGTTCAAATACTTTGAAACAACATGAAAAGCACTGGATATTTTCATGACACAATCACCCGTGCACTTATTGAAATGCTTTAATTCCGTCCTTCACATTTAAAACAGACGATGCATAGATGACACTGGCAGGAAGACTAATGGATCACTGGAAGAGTGGAGTTTGAGAGAGGTTGATCTTTACAGACTACTCTAATGAGAAGTGTAGTTGTGGGTGTGCGTCAAATACAGCTATCAGATGATCTGGCAAGTAGTGTTTTTGCATAATGTCTGTTGGAAGGATTCTTCATCAGAAGACAAGCTTCTCCTTAAAAGAGACGTTTCTCGTAACTGTGGGAGAAAGAGAGTATGAGAAGAAAAGATCACACGACTTATCCACGATACTCCCTGAGGTTTCCTGTTAAGACAGACACAGCAGTAGCCTCATTACAGGCGCTAAAGAGGAAGTTTAGCTGAAGGCTTGTGTGGTTGTGGTAAGACATGAAACTAGGAAATTTGAAGACCATGAAATATGAAACTAAGCAAAACAGAGTGGATTTGTACTGAGGAAAACCCATGTCTGTGTGCGTGTGTACCTGTGCAAGCTGTGGACTCCGCCTTCTTTCTGAGCTGATGTGGTTCTCTTTTCAAATTTCAGGTCTCCAGAGTACATCATGGCTCTGGAGAAGGAAAAAAGAAAACAGCTGTTAGATGACAGCCGAAATGGTAAGAAATTAAGTACAATATAAAACTTAAGGAAATAAGAATAAAGCTGGACATCAAATTTCTGTGAAATACAAATTAATGGTCAAGCTATCGAACTTGTAATACACCTGACTGTACTTGGTTAGCCACATCACACTAATGTGATTTACAAAATGCGTCAAGTACATCAGATTCAAACTTCATAATGAATTCCTTTTTCCCCCCCTATAACTGTGAATGTATTTGTCGTCAAAAACATTTCTGCAAAACAAAAAACAAAAAAAACAAAAAAAAAGCTACAAAGATTTTTGTTGGGCACCAGTTTGGTCCCCAATCTTCCCCCACACTCTCTCCCAGCTGCCCTGTCTACTCCCTGCTGTGCTATCTGATAAAAGCAACCAAAAAAATTCACAGTAAAATTCATACTGAAAATATCGATCATGATTTGTGCTTCAAATATCACTGGACATTTAATCACTTGTTTTATTGGCTTGCTTCTGAGTATTTAAACATTCATTTTTCTTCTCGTGTAGCTGTTTGAGTGCTCTCAGAGTGCAGCGTTAACTCTGACAGATCCGTGTTTGTGTTTTTACCTGAGTTGGGTTAGGCTTTTGGCTCCGATGTCCTGGCAGGAGTGCTGAATGCCAGCGAGCAGGTAAGGAACAAACTTGTGGATGGAGCCTTTGTCCTGCACAGCTCCGGAAACACCCTGAGCGACTTTAATCTTATCGTTCTCACTGGGAGGGGAGAGGAGGGAGAAAGGAGTGAGTAGTGTGGAGAGAACCCCTTGTTAGGCAACCTGCTCACTGATAGCATATCAACTTCAACAGCCTGTTTAGACCAGTTTGTTCAGTGAACATCTTTGTAAGCTTGTTAGAGGTTGTCTATTAGATGAAGTTTTTTTTTTTTTTTTTTTTTTTTTTAAAGTAAAATGCCAGCGCCATACTTTTCTAGCAGGCTCATCATTCTTTACCACCACATAGCAGTACAACAGCTGTGTTCTGCAAACCACTGAAAATGAAATGAGGAAGTGTTGTCTGCTGGGGAAAACTGGCAAAGAAAGGCCCAACAACGTGACAGGCAGACTGGCTGTGTAAGGTGGACAGCCCCTTGTTATATTACTGATACCTGAAGTATCTGGTCTGGGAGCCCAGGTTTTTGTCCATGGCGTCCAGGGAGCCCATGCCACGGTATTTCTTCAGCCTGATGCCATCAGAGAAGAAATATTCACCAGGAGCTTCACTAGTAGCAGCCAGCAGAGAACCCATCATCACTGGACACACAGAAAAAGAAAGTTACTGAAACATTTAACTCTATCATATAAAAAAAAAGTCAAAGATAAAATTGTGCCGAGATTACAACAATGAGGTGATTAATTTTTTTTACGTTTGCTCTTTCCACAGTCAGACTTTACCTTCTCACTAACTGTAGGGTGCAGTTATTATTAGAGATGGACCGATCCAATATTACGTATCGGTCCGTTACTGACCTAAATTACTGGATCCAATATCGGAGAGAAATAAAAAAAAAATAAAAAATCAGATCCGAAGTATCACAAAATCACCTCACAAAATGCGCTACTTGGCGTAACCCAGCTCGGTGCATCGAAGCAGTATGTGTCACGTGACAGAGCGGCTGTTGTCTGCGAGACCTGTCGGTGGTCTGTTGGAGCATTTGGAGCCTTGCTACATGCTTCCTGACCGCGGCATTTCATCTCGGCGAAAACTATCCCAGAGAAGTAAAGCAAGTGTGTAAGTTCATCCCTAAATGTTTGCATAGTATTTCCATGTTAAGCTTTACAACTGATATATTGAGCCACAGTTGGACTGGCCATCGGAGTTCCATACTGAAGTGAAAAGGAAGCGATTTGTCCCGTACTTCAGCTAGAATTAAAAAATCAACACTACTTCTCTCATTCACTTCCCCTCCCTCTCCTGTTATTACTTCAAGCATGAAAATGATCAATGATCAGCTGATCAGCTTTTCTGCCACAAGTCCACTCTTTCTTGTTTGTTTATCACCCACTTTGTGCTAGAAAGAGGAGACCAGCGGATAAACAACAGCAGCACGTTTAAGCGTGATAAGCTGCTGTTAGAATTTTTTTAATATTACTTTCTAGTATCAGCTGAGGTTTTGGTGGAGCCATGGCTGTAAAAGCTGCTGGTCATGATATCGGTTTGGATATGTGGTGAGAGGGAAACATGAAGATGGAACTAGGAGATGTTCTTACTAAATCATCAGAGCCGAGCAGGTGATGGAGAAACAGGTTTACCTGTTAGTTGACATGAATGAGTTGAAGGGAAGTTATGAACTGTTTCTGAGAGACAAATAACACCAGGATCCTTTTCTACGTAGCTGACGGCTGGTAACTGTGCAGGGGCGGGTCTAGCAAAGTTTTGTCGGGGGCCAGGGGCACAAAGAAATATTTTTCTTTGTTATGTCATTTAAAAACTTTGAATAAATAATTATCTGAATCTTACAACAAAAGTGGTCATCTGATTAAATGTACAGAAATCCATTATTGTATATAGTAACTAATAAGTCTAATATACACCCTTGTAAGCTATAGTACTTTTTCCTTTGGGAAGGTACCATCTGTGCAGTCTGCAATTCTGTTGAAGAAAGATGTTGAATCTATATAATTATTGTAGAAAAATAAGTGATTTCTGTGCATTTGTTGTCCACTTAATATTTTTGCTGGGAGTTGGCAACCCTATTAGTTGGGTAGGTACTCTTTAAAATACCAAAATAGGAAGGATGGTGTAGGTTTAAATTTATTAGATTGATCAGTGTTGCTGAACTATAAAATGTTTTGGGTGGAGTGTATTTTTTGCATACAGGTATAACAGAATAGCTTCAGTCTCTTGTTTTTTTAAAACTTGAGTATGTTTTATTGATTACAAAATACACTATATCGGATTCATATCGGTATCGGACATTAAAAAGTGGTATCGTGCCATCTCTAGTTGTTGCATGTTGCATCTTAAAATTCTTTAATCAGTCTTCAGTTCTTCAGTAATAAAACGAGAAGATAAAAAATCAAGTTTTTCTTTCTCGTTCGACATGGCTTCAATGCATGTTCACCTGATGATCAAATCCATACCTGTGGATGCTCCAAGTGCTAGGGCCTTTGCGGTGTGGCCAACGGTTTGGATGCCGCCATCAGCGATGACCGGAACGCCAAAACGCCTGGCATACTCTGAAACCTTATAGACAGCTGTGGCTTGGGGTCTGCCACATGCCAGCACTGACGAGGAGAGAGGAGGAAAAAACAGATGAAGGTGGATTAAACAGGTACAACTGAGGAAGGTGCCCTGTAAAGAACCTCCACCTACTGTAAATACACAACTGGAGCCAGATGCACCAACTTGTCTTGACTAAGCTTGATCCTGAGGTTTCAGCTAATATGAGCCTTTTAAAAATCTTATGCAGCTTGAAACCACCAAACCAAGCACAACTCAGCTATCCACATTAAATGTATTGTGAGTAAACCTAGCAGTATGTGCCATCTTGCTAAAGTGTCCTTTAGCAGCAAGCTCAGGCTGATAAAACCTTATGAAAAGTAATTTTGTCATTAAAGTAAAAACAGACATTGAATTGAATTAAATCTGTAAACAATGCAGGGGATTGCTTTAGTCGGTTATTTAAAACCGCAGAATGTTGTCTTCAGTGACAGAGGCTGTGTGATGATGGCCAACATTTTTACTTTACACCTGCTCTTCACTTGTTGTATGGGGAACTAGCTTTAAGCTTAAGTGGTTTAAGTTGCTTAAAAATCAGCCGATAACACCACGCTATGACAGATTTAGCTAAAGAACTGGCCTCAGTTTGGAAGATTCAGCTTTTCCATCATTTAGCCATTGTTCTTTCATATGTCTGACAGTTTGAGTAGGCAAGAGGAAAGAAATCTCCACTGACTAATAATAGGACAAACTGTTCAACGTTTAGAAAAAAGAAACAAAGTGAATGAGCAGACAAACTGGGAACATGTCTGTTATGTTTGTTAAATGTGAAAATGAGGAAGTTAAATTTGTCACATCAGCAGAGAAATACCACACTGCTCTAAGAATCAAACTCTCATAATACACGCTGCCTGTAGCTGCAGAGGACTCTTCAGTGGATTTCAAAGCCATTTTTCAAAAGATCAACTACTCTAATATTAAGCAACAGAAATAAAGTGCCAAAACACAAATATCCCAACATCCCAATTCCTTTTATTAAACCGCTGAACTCGTCATTTCCTTCCAACTCAGGACTGCAAGGTACTTACCAGCTCTAATGAGTCCAGTGTTTCCCCACACAGGCTTTAGTTGGGTGGGCCAGCAAGGTATATTTACTGCCAACCAGGTTTTGGCTGTTCAATCTTTCCGGGTTGCCGTTGTTGCAGCCCTCGATATCAATCAGCTGCATCCCTCTACAGAGCATCTCGGACTCTATCTTGGACTGCAGCTGGCGAAGAGAGTGCTTCTGCTGCAAGCTGGAGAACCACCAAAACCACAGCCTCCAGCAGGTGAACAACTAGAAAAACTGCCAAGCTCACCAAGGCTGCGGAGCGGAAGGACTCGTGTCCCCAGCTTAAGACCAAGACGAGTCAAAATCTAGTGCTCAATAAAGTGGCAGTTCTTTAATCTGATTATGTGGGGAAATACTGGATCCCTAGTTATTTTCTACTCTGCTTCTATTTAGTAAAAAAAACCAAAAACGTTTCAGAGGGAACTGTTATCATATGCAATGGCCATACTCTAAAACAGTGAAGCTCAATAGGTTCAAGCTACAAATCTTTACTATTCTACTCTGTTTTGACTCATGAAAAGCAGGGTCAAAGCAGAAATGAGCCCACAAAGCAGGTGAGTGCAGATTAATTTTCAGCCAAAAACAGTGGCAGCGACTTCTTTAACATCTTTCCCCACATTGTAGACAAAGGTGATTAATTCTTATCATTTATGTCCTTAAGCAAAGTCTGTCCCAACCAGCCCACAAACATGACCACAAGTGCTGAACAGAGACACCCTGTGGTAGCTAGTCACACCATCTAGTAATCCTCTGCTTTTGATTTTGTTCCAATGTTAGGAATGTGTGTTAGACATGGATGAGACGCCTAACACAATAAGCAGTGGCCTTTGAACCCAGCCACTATCTCACCAATAGTATCTTTACATTTGTGTCTCGATCTGATGGCTTCAAACAGAAATCAAAAGGTCAGGAAAGTGGGTGGAAGAAGAGCAACATTCACTCAGCATTAGGGATGGGTATCGTTTAGGTTTTATCCGATACCAGTACCAAACCGGTACTTTTGAAACTGTGCCGGTGCTTAAACGGTGCTAGAACCAGTGCTTAAGAATGGAGAACACAAAATTGGTTCAAAAACCTCTCATGTTCAGCTGTTTTTTTTGTAAAAAAAGATAACAATGTTAGCCTTTTCT